TTTGTTTTGTTTGTTTTGTTTTTTCGTTTTTTGAGACAGGGTTTCTCTGTGGCTTTTGGAGGTTGTCGATACATACCTCTTAACCTCTCAGGACAAGAAAAAAAAAAAAGTGATTTGAAAAGAAGATTCATGAGTCTATGAGCCAAGCTACAACCGGGCCTGTGAAAACATGTAGGGACACTGGTCTTCTACACTGCCTCCTATTCTAATTTGGTATCCTCAGGCCAAAGGAGGCCGTAGCCCAAAGTGTCACTTCTTTTTCAGGTCCCTCTCCTTTCCCTCTTTTTCCCCACACCGTAAGCTTATCCTGTTGGCATTGTCCTGACTGCCTGCTTTCCCAAAGATAATCCTTTGGAAACAAACAGGACTTAAATAAGCATGTATAAGCTGGGGCAAAGCAGTGCTTTGCAGCATTGGCTCTATTGGGTTGTTAGTTTTTGGTATTTTAAAACTTTTTATTCTATAGCTTAGGCTGGCCTTGCATTCACTATGTAGCTAGCTCAGGCTGGCCTCAAATTTGGAGCATTCCCCCTGCCCCAGTATTCCAAGGACTAGAATGACAGCAGCATTTGTTTTTTAAGACTTGATCTCAGGGTTTCTTCTGTATTGTTAATTTTTTTTTTTTTGAGGTCCATGAGGAGCTGTAGTTATTTAACATAATCAACATTAAAACTGAGAAATAGCTTTAAAATATATCCATTAGCTGGGCATTTAGATCAGTGTGGGAAGCTCATGCCTTGCATTTGTGAGGCTCTGAGTTCAATCCCAGCTCCACCAAAAGACAATAATTTATAATTGGGCTTGGTGGTACACACTTAGAAATAGGTGACCTAGCAAGGTGGTAACAAATTCAAGACCAACTTGGACTACATAGTGAAACCTGTGTCAAAACAACAGGAAATATATGTGATGGAGGTGTACATACTTATATTCATTAAGTAATTGAAAGCTACAATACGAAACTCATTATGTTTATTCATTTTTAAATAATACATTTTTTAAGAGAAATCAAGCCAAGCATAGGT